TGCATTAGAGCTATTTATTTTCACACAGTGGTTCTGAATCAGCAGCATAAAAGGAATAACATATAGTTAGCTCCTTCATCAAGCACAACAGATCTCGGGCACTGAAGGCATCAGTGGGTTTTGTGCAAGTACAGTGTGTGCTTGTGCAATTAAAACCTCTAGCAGCACAGAGGCACAACTGGTTTACACAGGCTGTCTTCATTTAGCTCTACATAACACTCAAACGCTTACCTGCACAAAAACAACGTATTTTAGCACCACATTGTTGGGGTAATGAACTGTAATTGAAGATTGGAGATTTGTARCTGAATTGCTCACCTTTTGGCTCCCTCCTCCCTTCTTTTCCCCCAAAAATGGTTCATTAAGAGATTCCTTAAATGACATGCTAATAGCAATGATACCCAGAGTGATGGCCCAGAGAAGACCTTCTGTTTTGAACTTAAAATTTCTACCACTATCTCATCTTCTCARCCTTCTCAAACCACTCCTCTGGACCATCCACTGCTTATAGGCCATTCAATATGATCTGGAGAGCTTCCTGTCCTATGGATTTTGCTGATACCTCTTCATTTCAGATATCGAGACAAAAACTCTAGCTCCATAGCGGGACTGATAAAGCCATGGGCACATTGCCAAAAAGGGACATCTAGAGATMTCCCAGTCCAAGAAAGACTATCAGCAACACTAGATCAGCTCAGCTTSACTTTATTGAGCCTTGCAAACACATGAGGTGGACTGTCCACCACCACTTTGGCCTTTGATTCCTACTTACTATAGTCRTGTTGTGATTTCTATATGCTACCAGAAGACAAATCAACCGTCTCCCTGGAAAATGGCTTATTTTAGGGGAAGACTTGATATCAAATCTAACAGTAAACATAATTATTTTAATGAAGAAAATATTTGTGTTATTCCACCAGTTTAACTTTTCTCAGAGTAGTCTAGGAGAAATCATGGTATTTAAAAAGTATCTTCCAACCAGAATCTAATTTACAATAAATTCTATCGGGAAAGTAAAGTCTTTGTTTTACACTCATTGCAACTGTGTCTATTCTGGGGAACACATGAATGCCTCCAGACCTGTGAAAATGTTCTGATTGTGACCCAGGTTTTGCTGGGATGAAATCAGAGTGCTTCATATGTGACTAGCTTCATATGGAAAAACGGCCTACATTGGCCAATGCCTGGGCKAGGCTTGAAGTCAGCTGCAGTGCATTCCTACTGATTCCCTATTCATCCACGTCTGGCAACCTATCCTGCAAAGTGCACTGTAAAGAGCACCAGGACCCCAGGACAAACACAGAAAAAGAGAAAGCTCTTAAAGCTCTTAAAACTCCACATTGTTCTGAAGGCCACCACTATCTTGGCACTCCAAAGCTTCTCAAGAAGCATTCCTCATACTCCTATCCCTAACCACGTATTCTGATAGTTCCTGTGCCAAGACAGAAGTGTGTTGCAACTGCTGACGTCTAAACAGCAGCTTTTGTGCTTTGCAGCTTGCATTTCAAAATGGCTGTTCCTTTCTGAGTAWAATCCCAGCGTAATTAACATTTAAGGCACCTAACTTTTGGTTAGTGAGTACAGTCTCCAGATAGTTCTTGAAATCTTTGCCCTTAAAATTCTGAGAATTTATCACTGGTTGCTGAGTGTCCCATTTCTTCTGTGCAATAAACAATAACCAGTGAGTCCTAGATAATAATGGAAGTCAAAATACCTGAGTGCTGGTGAAAATACTTAACCACAGACTAATGGTACACATTTAAAAGGCCATTGAGATTGGGAAGTTAGGCAAACCAACCAAGCTTTCATAGTCTACTTCGCAACTAAATCACATGAAGCAGAAATACAATCTAATTTTGCATAGGTCATACAGAAAAAAAAAAAAAAAAAAACAGAGCAGTTAATGTGGTTGGCTGCTTGGACCTTACTCAGAGGTTCTCAAAGTACCTGGCAAACATTAATTAGCCCTTTCTATAAAGGGATTAAGGAATTTCTGCAGTTTGTACATATTTTTACAAAATGTGAAGGAAGACAGAGTGTCGGTACTGGAACCTGAAACAGGAAAGCAAGATCTGGGAGTCCAGCCCTTAATCTGACTTCTGGATAGCTCACCTGTTACTTAGATGGAGTCACATATGTACGTACCTATTACTTAGATAGAGTCACCTATCAGAAACTCTATTTGGAGTGCTCCAATTAAACAAACCCATTACAAAAAAAAAAAATTATCTAGTATACATAGTTTCAAAACTGGAAAAGAAAATATTTGGGCATTCTGAATAAGCAACTGATGAAACTTAGGTTTCTTGTTGCAGCATTTAAATTTTAACTAGTTTTATAAGTATATTCCCCAGGAATGACTTCATGATGCAAAGCTAAAAAAAAAAGGCCTGTGTTTCACAGACTATCATGATTTTGAGGTATAAAGAAATTGAGATCAATTTCCTAGAAAAGCTGTGGCACACCTTTCTTCTCAGGGTGAATGAAGCATAGAAACAAAACTAAATGCTGAAGAGCAGTAGTGAGCAGCAGCCACAGAGCTGCACTGCAGCCTTCAAGCCGTCAGGCAGCTGCTTTAACCCCCACAAAAATAACTGTTGCTCCTCCTAAGCTTTTGCGACTGGTTGCTTGTGTGACTTGTTCCTGCCTCATGTGCTGCTCTGATAGACTAATAAAAGAGTGAYTTATTATTGCCTTCATTGTTGTTGTTGCTGTTTTCACTGGACATGACACCAATTAGCACAGAAACGGCATTCAGCCTCGCATAATAACAAACAAAAAACCACCGCTTGGCTGGATCYGCACGCTCGTGATGCCAGGCCCAGTCCAACACAGCTCGTTGCAGGAAGGCCTCAGATTGCAAAATGAGAAAATACCTTGCCAGACAAGGGGAAGGGAAAAGAGGGATGGTCAATCCTATGGAAATCAGGCAGCGTGGGATATGTAAGGGCCTATTTTTCACAGAAGCTTCAYAGACTTTCTCCATACACTTTCTACCACTGTTAAAACTGCAAAGAGGAAGTTAAGCAGTGGATTTCCAACCTGCCTTCCTTGCTCCATCTTTGGGAAGTCTCACCAAAATACTGTATATGCTGTAATGCCTCTTTGTAACATCCCCATTCACAAGGCTGCAGTTACTAAGTTTCTCTGGCAAACAAGCCTTGCTGGCCAAGGGTTCAGCATCAGGACCTTCTCCCATGTAAATAAGCAAACACCTTCCAAGAATTTTACACACCTTACAGGCCTCTGGTGTGGCAGGAGGGAGGGGAGCTGGTAGCACTTTTTAATTTCTAGTTTAGAAGCTTAGAAATGACACTACAGAATAGGAGGAAACAAGCACAGCAGTAAAACTGAGTGAATGCACGAACAATGGAAAACAATCTTAGTCCATGCAGAACAGATCATGCCGGAAAGCTCAGACAACCTGTGCACAAGCACAGAGTTAGTACCCAAAGGCAATGCAGCAAATTAGATTTTGCAGGAGCATTATTTGAAGGTTGGTGGGTGGAAGAAGTTTGCTCAACAGATTATACATATCTGTTCAAACACAGAAGTTCAGATGGTTTCCTTTAGCCTCTATTCAGTGCTACTTTGTAGAGAGTGTTTTGCTTTAATTTATCTAGTCTTTAATGAGACTTTTGGTACTTTGCTGCCTGGAAAATTATTACTGACACTGGAAATATGGTGCCTGGTTACAAATATCGCAGAGAAGATAGGAAGTTGCCAGACATATTGTAAACAGAGCATAATTACAGTATTTACAGTTGAACATCAAAATGGGAAGAGATGCCAAGTGGCATTCCACCGAGGTTAATATTGGGACTGATACCATCTAATATCTTCCTTAATAATTTGGAAAAYGAAGTAAATTGTACTTTGATTGAATACACTAGACACAAGAGGAAGATGACCCAGCAAGTGGGTAGGTTGAAAAAAAAACACCAAAAAAGATCTGGAGATCTAAGAGAGAGAGAGAGGGGGAGAGAGAGAAGGGTGCATTTAAAGGAAAGTTATTTAATGTAGAAAAATGTAGAATAATAAGCTCAAGGAAAATTAACACCCATCTCAAGTAACCAAATGGGAAAATGCCAATTTTCATTTAAAAAAAGTCCAAGAGATTTCACAGTTTATTCACACTGAAAATTCACATTGGGGTACATGCATCAGGTTTGACAACTTGTTTGCTACATTACAGCCTGATGTGACTTTGAAAGGAATTACGTATTCACTTAAAATCTGCCTTTTAAAATAAATTTTAAGTTATCTTAAATGTATACCAAGTAMTCAGAGGAAAATCCAGGTTAGAGTCCTGTTAGTTGAAATAATGCAGCAATGTAATATAAATAACAGGACACAGAAAAAGCACATAGGAGGTCAAGGGTGAGATAGGAAGCCAAAGTCTCTGATACTGTCAAGGAGTCCTAAGTGTTCACTGTATGCAGTAAAATTTAAGGTTGACAGTAATTTGTTGACTTTTCTTTAGGAGCTAAGTTCTGTCTTACGGAAAACAATCACTTTATAAAAGAAAATAAGATTCTGATGCATATTAACAACAAATAAATAATATAAACAATGCTTGAATGAACACCAAAACAGGCTTACTGTGTTAAATGAATCCTGCATACACTAATGAATCTTAAATATCATCTGTAGGACTGAAATCGTCAAAAGAATGTGTCCCCACAATAAAATTAATCTGTAATAATATAAGCTTGCAAGTATAAAAACATATTTTATGACCAAATAAAAACTACAAGGACTGTGTTACAGGACACCTCCTGGGTGAGTTTAAGGAACAGATTATCTTTTTCCCATCTTTATTTGGTTAACAATCCCATTCTACTAAAGTCTATTACTTCATCACATGAATAGTTAACCGTAATAAAATTGAAAACTTTATCAAACTGAGTATTACTTCCTAGCATGGCAATTCAAATGAAACGGCTGATGTAATAGCAATCAACATTATTTTTTTAATGTATGCTTAAAAACCTGCTTACCAAGGGGAGCCATATATTCTGAATCCCCTCACCGTCACTTCGGAGTCTTGAAGATAGATGCAGTTTGTCAGAAGAGACTGCACATTTTCATAGCTCTCTGGCTTCAGCTTAGAAACAGAAGGGAAATAGTAAAAGTCCTGCTTGATTAAGTCAGCCATGAATTCCTGGTCAAAGGTCAGTTCATGATTTCCTGCTATCACAATCTTGTATTCATAGGGCAGGCTACCTAAAATAGTGAAAAACAAACAAATTACTTGTTTTGTGGAAAATTTGATAAAAGGCAACAGACTCACAGACTAGTACTCATTTCTATAATAAGCCACATGTTTGAAACAATTCAGCTAAGCCCTACCACATGTAACTATAACTCCAGGTGACTTGGGATAAATGACTACAGTGTCCCTTTCAGGGCATATTATGGCATATTATGGCTTTGCATACCCAGGATTAACGTGTTGAAACCACCTTCAATTTGTCAACCTTAAATAACAGTCTGCAGATCACTGCTCTGCTATTTACTTCTATTTAATTGCCACTTGCATTGCAAGTATCACTTACTGTGACAATGATGATAACTCGGCAGTTCAGGTTCAAAGAAAACCAACCATAACGCTTAATAAAGCAAATCCAGCTCTCTTCTCCTGGACCTGTGCTAATTATCAGCTTACACTCTGGGAGTCTACCACCCTCCTTGCCCTGATATGAAGATTAAGCCTTCACATAAAACAGGATGGGGCTGGATTGTCAGAGCTCTGCAACTCCAAGAAAAATCTTGCAGCTTGTCTCTATCCTCCCTTTTCCCCTGCTCCATTCCCGAGGAACGGATCTTCCTTAGATCTGTGGACTATAATTACAGTGATTCATGGTCAAGAATGTTTCACAGCCCGTTTTTAGTGAAAAACCTTACAAAAATCTCCTGCTGAGGGCTAGAATTTCCATGCCTGCACACACGAGTTCTCCTGAGAGCACCATGGCAAAAGAAACTTCCCGCTGACTCCATGTTTGGTTATCATCGGGACTCAGCACTTGACAGAAGGGATCATCTGTCCCCAAAAGCCCAACAGATACCTTCTAAATCAGCCTGACAGGAATCGAAGACTGAAACTGGAAAGCAGCAGTCATGAGCTTAGCTTCTGCATTCACATTGGGAAGAAGACAGCCATAACAAAGGATTGTACGAGGAAGAAAATACTTCAGTGAAAACAGAAGAGAGACCCACCTTGCACAGTAACAATCCGGACATTTTTAACTAAGAGAAGATATTGTTTATATTATTATGTAGAACTGGAGTGACGATCCCAAGCTTAGCTCAGAGTTAGGATGCTTACAGAATGTACATCATTAGTCTATATGCAGTGGCAGAAGTTGGAATTAGTAGAACTGAATACAAGACTGAAATTCAGGGTTACTGAGGAGAGACAGAAGAGGTCTAGCCCACAGGAGGTACCACATGGCTACAAAAAAATCAGTATTTGCAAAACAAAAAAGAGTAGAAAACTCTTAAGATGAATTTTCATATACTTTTAATATCTGTATTAGCAAAATGGATCTTACAGGTTTCAGCTAACATCTAAGTACCTTTAGCAAATGTATTAACAGAAACACTCTTCAGATTTTTATGATTACATGTAAAATTCTGGGGATTCAATTAGTTACTTGAAACACCGCTTGCAATTTAAAATACTGTCATTTCGGCCTCTGAAATGGTTATGCATGGTTAGCATCTTGTAGAGGCATCCTCCACTTCCACAGTTTTCTGAGTGCACATAAACACACACAAACACACACACACACACACACACACACATTAAACATGCAGCTTACATGCTACAACATGTATGGGCATCTACAGGCTTAAAATGGTCCTTGGGCATAGGAAAATAAAATCCTGTATGCCACACAATATTTTTAACAATTCCATTTCTGTCGTTTTGTAAATCCTTTCCAGTTAATCTGATCCATCCATCTAACAGCCAAGAACCTGTATGAGCTGGTTATAGTTGTTGCTTCCACTAATGTATTTATGTCATGTTGCTGTCTGTGGGTGTTACTTAGGCAAATTAGCAAATTACTCTAAATGTACAGTTACATTTATTATATTGGCGGCCAGAAGCACTGCTGCAGTTACAGGTCTGTCAGCTTTTCAATTAACAACTCTGTTTTTGATGAGTTTGCAGCTCAGTTATTTCCTTTCAACCTGTACAAGGCTGCAACTCGCTGAGCCTATTTCCCTCCCTTTGTCTCCAGAAGTCTCCCCTGCCCTTTGTATCCTGATTTTTCGTTTAAGACACGCTGCTTGTGCATAAATTTAACAATATTTTGGTTAATCTCTGTTCCTCAAGAGACTTAAGAATGCACTTTACTTTCTATGCTGAGCTTTCTCAGTGTAAAGTTAATCCTAAGCGTACTTCTTCGAAACCTTGACTGGATGCTGCTCAAACTATGCAGTAAACCCCCACAGAGTGGGTGCAGACCAAGACCCTCACCTATCAGCCCACAATATTGGTGACTTTTGTTTCCAATTTTGCCTGCTTCTACGGCGATGCAGTACCTAGCAAGGGTCACTGCAGCGCACGGGTGGAAATGAGCACTGAATGCTAAGCACATCTCTCTGCCCTGAAGACACCATCCTCCTACCACTGAAGTTGGGGGTCCAACCTTACTGTAGCAGAAACTGAATCCAAGATGATGTGAGAGCACAACCTTTAGAAATCTTGAATGTTTCAAGTACCTTTTACAGCATTGGGACCCATTAGTAAGAATTGATGGGTATTTACCTGGTAATTATTTAAATTATTTTGTATTCCAATGTTACATTATCCTCACGTCCTTCCACCACAAATATATTGCTTTCCTACTCTAGGCCCACAGTACTGCACAATTAGGGGCCTTGATTAGGTCCTTGGCCAGGTCCAAGACTCCTCCAACAAGACACAGCCCAAAAGGTGTTCTGTGGCAGAGTTTTTAAATGGTATGTGCCCATATTTTGAGAATATTCAGTAATCAACACCTGACTGAATGGCTGGTGTGGCAAGTGGGGCTCCAGCTTCTCTGCCCATGGGACTTCTTTTTGAAGAACAAGAACTGCTGAACAGTATGGCATTCACCTGAAAATCAAAGCAAGTGTCTTTTCTAGGAAGTCCACTAATACAGTAATTAGGGAAGGGCTGTCCTACTCCAAATCAAAGACAGAGGCAGTGAGGAACCATCTGGGGACAAAAGGATGGCAAAGGTTCTCGCATTTCTCTTTTGAAAAGAGCTCTTGGGACTCATCTCAAGTGCTGATATTCACACACACGCACACAGGGATCATCCAGGAGGAATGAGATACCCAAACACAGCGGAGAGCTGCGACATCCCTGCGATTACAAAGACATAGTGGCATAAGTCGCATGCCTGAGTGCTTGGACACTTGGACACGGGATTTTGAGGAAAYATAAGCAGGGTGGTTGGAGAGCTGTGCTCTGTGGTCGCTGGAGGGGTGGCTGGAGCACACAGAGCTTGCCTTGGGACAGGCGATGAGCCCTCAAGAGCTTAGGGGCCAGAAGACAGACTGACATGGATGATGTTGGGGGAGTTGTCTGCTACAGATGGCCYGATCAAGAAGAGACAAAGCCTTCGTTAGCCAGATGGAAGAAACCTCATGATCAAATGGCATGGTTCATGGGGGAATCTACTTGTTCTGATAAATATTGAAAAGGCAGAGAGTGGCATACAATTAATGCAGAAGATTTCTGGTGAGCGTTGAGGACACTACAAAAGCATCTCCATCAGCCAGAAAAATGGGCTGGCAGGAACCTCATAAACAAAAGTAAATGTAAACTCCTGAAACTGGGATGGAATAACTTCATATGATAAGGCTAAGCACTGATGACCAGGCAGCTTCGCAGAAAAAGACGCAAGGTCCTTGGTAGATGACAGGTGAAACAAGAATCAGCAGTGTGTCCTGGGGGCAAAGACATGTGCAAAATGGTAAGTTTGTAATTTCGCATATGGAAGAAATTTTACCATGAGCTTGGTCAAACAGTGGAATAGGTGCCCAGTGAGCTTTTTACATCTCCATCCCTGCAGATACTCAAAATTTGACTGGACAAGGTCCTGAGCAACCTGCGGCGACCACACCTGCTTCGAGCAGGAGGTTGGACTAGATGCCCTCAGGAAGTCCCTGTCATGCTGCATGAGTTTAGGAGTCTGTATATCTGTATATCTCCACTGGAAAACAAACAAGATTTTTAAAACTCCACAACAGTGAAAGAAATTACAAACTCATTTCATGTTGTGATTCTAATGGAACAAATCTAGAGTAGATAAGCAATTTAACAACACTAGAGAGCATGTACCATTAACTTCTCTATTAGTTTCTCACACTATCCACTTAACAGATGAGTAGGACTATAACTCAACTGATAGCCAATTAACATTTGATGCTAGCATATGGCTTTTTGGGTGGGCAGGTAGCAAACTTGGTATTGATACAGGAGGTCTATGTATACAAAGATATTTAGATATTAAAGAAAATTTATGGCTGTCATGGGAATCCTGCACACATGCTCAGGACAAAACTCAATTCCCAGAAAAATTGTGGCAGTAAGCTTTCAAGAAAAAGATATGCCCTTCAGGAGTGCCAAGAAACACATGCAAGAACATATGCTATTGGAGTCAATGATGTATTTTTAAATTTAAATTAAAAAAAAAAAAAGGAACTTAACTTACAAGTCTAGGGGAAAGCTATATGATTTTCTTCTGATCTCTTATTCTGATCAGCCAACTCAAGGAAGGTGCTTTTGTCCTACAATTAACAATCCCCTCCGTTCCATGTGCTGGAGAAATTTCTGCTAAAATATTCTATAACCTGGAGATGATCTGCAACTAGAACTGTAATGGAAAATTTTTATCTAAACTGTTTTCTGCATTAAAGTCATTAAAATTCTGCTTAGATGGAATTAGATATATTTGGAAATTCATATAATGACTCTGACATTACCAAGGAAACAAACCGATACAGAATGTCCTTTAAAAATATTTTGGGGTTATTAAGAATTTCATTTCTGTGAATTTTTTTTCTTTTTTTTTTTYYWAAAWWRKTTTTTTTTTTCCTCCCAGAATATCCAACATGTAAGAAAGTGAAAATATTTTCCTCCATGATCAACACTCTAGTCACTTCATGCTGCATAGATTTGGAATCAAAAGAAATGTTTACACATTGAAATTATGTCAGAAACACAC